GGTCAAAGTGTATGTGCAATGTGAAAGAGTCCTTAGTTGTTTACTTTGTATTTTTTTACTGTCATGTTTTGGTTTGGTTTTTTAAAGAGAGGCATCTGTGGAATTTTCTGCTTCACTGGCCAGGATAACTTGAGTACTACGTACTATGACTTGGTTGAGTGGGGGGGAATATCATTTGTTGCAAAATATAACAGGCCAATCTACATCTGTCCCTATAGTATACATTTTATAGAGAGCATGCCCTCTACCCCTGAGAAAAAACCCTTCCCCTTTATCTTTCCTTCTGTCCTACTGTGAACATTGAGACTGTCCTACTTCTGTCGGGACTAATAGCCATGCTTGTTTCTCCATGGATTTGCCTACTCCTTTTTCAAAGCCACAAGCCAGTGGACCTGGCCACATCCTGTGTAGCAAATTCCATAAATTAATGATGTGTTGTGTGAAAAGAAATACTTTCCTTTGTCTCCAATCTCCTGCCAAACAATTTCACCAAATTATCCCAAGTTCCTACTTTTGTGGCAGAGAGAGAAAATAAACTATATTTGTTTATCCTCATTTCTCCCTACCACACATAATGTTTAAAAACCTCTTTCTTTCTCCCTTCTCACCCCTCCCACTATTTCCTAGTTTTGTATTCCAGAATCAGCTGCATCAAAAGGTTCTTGGACTCCCTGCATTCTTTTCTAAGGAAGTCTTTCTTCAAAGCTGTATACGGAACTTCCTACAAGAAACAGTGATAGCCACGACTTGAATGGCTTTCATAACAGGTTAAACAAATCCATGATGGGCACATTTGCTGACAGCTAACAGCTGTGCCAGCAGCTAAATTAAACCTGAATATACAGGGGCAGTTTATCTTTCTCAGTATAACATAATAGGGATACATGGGAGAGGACCATCAGATTCATATCACTCTCATAAGCCCATATCCTCCAATATTTCACAGGTGCAAACAAGGACACATGTGGCCCAGCAACATCAGCGTATAGTTAAGATGGCAAATGTTATCAATGAGGAAGGACGCAAAATCTAGGAGAGCCTGCAGCAGTTTGCTTTTGTCTGAGCCTACTAACAAAGGCAAGATTCTGCCCCTTCTCTCTTTGAGTGCAAACTACTTTTGCACTTTGAACTCAGTTTGCAGCAACTGAAGTCAGGTGAGGACAAAGGAGAATGGTGGGAGAAGGAGAGAGAAACTGGGCCATTTTAAAAGCAACTGAAAAAGTGAGATGACAGAGGGTTACTCAGGACTACCAAAGCCACATTGGAACAGTTAAAAGTCAGGGTGGCATAGTGATTAGAGTGTTGGACTACGACTCTGAAGACCAGGGTTTGAATCTCGGCTCAGCCATGAAGCCCACTGGGTGATCTTCGACAAGTCACATTGGCAAACCTCCTCTGAACAAATATGCTGAATAAAAACCATGATAGTGTCTCCATAAGTTGGAAATGACTTGAAGGCACTCAACAACAACAAAGAGGGTATGCAACCATCCAAAAGCCTCTCTCAGTCCCGCCACCATCACAGGCCTGTCTGGTGAGGACAGAGGAAAGAGGTTTTCCAGGGCGACTAATCCCATGCTATGGGATTCCATTCCATGGAAGGCTCTCCTCTCCTTTCACTGGTAAACACAGGCCTTGTCTGCACTGGCCAGGATACTCCAGAGGCATCCCAGAGTATCCTGGCCCCACAGCTGCCCTGTTCTCCACACCCCTTTACCTTGGCCTCTGTTCCTCCACTGCAGTGGCTGTATGCATGGCAGAACTTGGCGTGTCTGCCACAGTGGCAGATTGCTTGCTTCTGAGGTCAGAACAAGGTGCCAGTGATGGTCACATTGCTGGCTGCCTAATTCTGACCTCAGACTAGGTACCTGCAGCAACAGTGGACATGCCAGGTGGTCCAGTGGGACATCCATGAAGATAGCCACAGGGATGGAGGGCTCCGAATCTTCCAAGAAAGATCTGGAGCAACAGGTAGGATAATGCTAGAAAGGGGGTTGTCTTTTGGCTCATACAGAAAAGGCTAAAGGTATTTTTATTTAAACAGGAATTTGATGGTTAAGTGGTTGCAGATACTCTTTTTATGGTGATATGTGCTGTGTATTTTTATCTTAACTGTTATGTTTTACAGTGGCTTTACACATTTAAAAATTAATGACATTTTAATACAATATTGTGTTTAATTTTTAAAACTTCTTTATCATCAGGTTTTTAGCATTATCCTGTTTTTGCCTTGTTGTGAGCTGCCTTGGGTCACATGTCACAAGAAAGTTGGGAT